AATTCATTTGACAGCTTACCCAATGGTCCGATCGTGGGTTATGCATGAATTGGCACACTTTGTTCACGGAATATGCAATATCCGGTCTAGTTAGTGTAGCATATTGGAGGGCATCCACCACCCGCCGATATAGGGTCCGATCCGAAAACAATTCGATATCTCCAGCTTTAAGCTTGGATGTGGTTGGCATGGGTATGGTGATAGGCCGACAATCTAGCATGCCTTGTTTGGTAAGGATGTCAAGTATGTACTTTTGTTGAGAAAGAAGAATACCGTGGAGGTTTTAATGACCTCTATGCCTAGAAAATAATTGATATCACCAAGATCTCGTGTTGCAAATCCGGAGTTCATGGCATGGATTACTCGTTTGAAGAAAAGCTGAATTGTCACCAATGATAATAATATCATCTACATATACTAGTAGAAAGACTCTACAACCTTGGGCCTTGTAAAAAAATAGAGAAGGGTCCGTTTTGGATCCTTCAAAGTCGAATGATAGTAGGAATTCCCGGAGGCATGAAAACTAGGCCCGTGGAGATTGTTTGAGCCCATAAAGTGACTTGTGAAGTTTACAAACATGATTAGGAATGTCCGAATCTTCAATTAGAAACTCATGATCGACTAGGAAGCTATGGAGGTCGATGAATGATATTGGTTCAAGCACGGGTTGTGAGGTTGGTGACGATATCTTTGAAGTCATTGGAGAGGCCCTCGAAGATGTAGAGATTGAAGTCAATTGGGGAGAGAGGACGACCGACTGTCTGCTAACTCATCACTAAGAGCTTTGGCGCGATGAAGAAATTGAGATACCGGCTCGTGGGACTCTTGCTTTATTCTTTGCAAAGCAAGGTGAAGTGACATTATGCGGGTGCTTAGAGGGTGAAGCTAAGCCACTCTCGAGTGCACGCCATACTTCTTGTGAGGTGGTGCGATCAATGACCATGGGAAGTACTTCGTGGACGAGAGAGGAGATGATTATGCTTATTAAGAGCTGGTCTTGCTGGATCCATGCTTTGTGAGTCGGATTGATCCGAGGAAGGCTCGTATCGGTAGCAATAACATGGCTTGGAGGGAAAGGGAAGGTACCATCCATAAATCGGAAGAGGTCTTGGCCAAGAAGGAATGGTTTAAGCTGAATTTTCCACGGTAAGTAGTTTGTTTGGGTTAATTTAAAAGAGATGAAGTGGTGGGAATTGCTTAGTTGGGTAATGGGGCCGGCCGATTGATGAGTAACTCGGAGTTGTTTCAGCGAGTGGTTGTGGGAGATGTTGTGTTGCTAGAGAGAGCCATTATTTTTCGGAAGAGGAAGGGAAACGAGAGGGTGTCGGGTAAAGAAAGAAAGGATCCGTTATGGGAGGTATATTTGGGCGAAGAATCGGCGTGTTTTAGTGCTTAGAAAGGGATATATATATATATATATATATATATATATTTGATACCAATAAGACCCAGGATCTAACGATATATATATATATATATATATATATATATATATTTTGTCGTTAAGCTAAATAGCTACGATACCATATAAAAACGGGAGGAGATGCTACTGGAATAATATGTCTCTTGCATTACTTTTTACTAGAATTAATACACCTTTTTATATACACATATAGTTATGGGTTACGTGATTGAATATAGTTAGGAAACTTCAAAGTTTATCTACACGGGTAGCAGATGTTTGTTTCTTCCACGGGTTCTCCAATAGAGTTTACCACGGGACTTGGAGCAAGAGTGTCTCTCCTAGTGGGACTCTGTCTTAGTACCACGGATTGCTTATTTCTTCCACTTCCACGGGCTGCACACATTATGTCTTCCACGGGTCTTGGAGTATGAAAATCACTCTTAGTAGAATTATGTCTTAATAAAGACAAACTACGGAGTCTTTTTTGGCATTGAACGAGCCCTTAAAGGGTTAGGTTCTTTGTTTGGTTTGCGGCTCACAATCGACTTCTCACAAACCCCCGACTTTATAGAGGCGGATGACAACTTATTTTTCATGTTCTCATTATGGAAATCTAATGGAGAATACAATTCATGTGATTGTTTTTATGCTAGACAAGTTTGTGATTGTTTTTATGCTATACAAGTTTGAGATATGGTCTCCATCTCTCGTTTTACTCCTAACTTTAATTATGCTATGACCTAATTGGATTGGTTTAGAGCAAATTTGAGTTCGATCTTGTCTCTGTTCATAACTCTCCATGGAGCATTTGTTTTGGTATGATCGATTGGAGCTTATAGAATTGGAGAAATATGAGCATCTTTGATCTTGATTTTTCTCTTCCAAGTAAGATTTTGCATGAAAAATGGGTAAAGGAAGTCAATAGAGCGAAAGGGATCCGCAAAAAGTCTATTGGTTCTAAGCCATCTAAAATGAAAAAAAAATAAAATAAACTTATCTCTTTACGACCAGCTAGCTTGGAGTGGATTAAAATCAATATAGATGGTACTCGTTAGATTACGAGTAACGAGCTTCGCAAATGGAGTTTTGATAGATAGTACTGGTGCTTGGCTTGGAGGTTTTGCCTAAAATATAGGGTCTTTTACGGTTTGGAAATTATGGTCTCCGATCATTAGGCGATGGGGTGGTGTTTGGGCGGTTCCATGTACGAGTTGATGACGGTTTTGAATTGGGCATATTTTTGTTACGGTGGTATGCCGAAAAAAAAAAAACAGTTTGGTATTTAATTATTTATAGTGTACTTTGGTCTATTGGTTAGCTTGAAATGATTTAATATTTAAAATTTTCTGAAATTCATTGGGATAGCATATTCTCTCTTATTTTTCCCGGATCGAGTTGTTTATTGGGTTCGTTTTGTTGATAAGCATTTTGTCTATACAAGAAATGATCTAATAAGAAGTTCCGTTGGTATAAAGATGTGGACTAATTTGACCGAGTGCGAGTTGTAGCTAATTGGGTTTCTCCTCCTATTGGCTCTTTGAAGTGGAATGCGGATAGGTCTTCGTTGGGCAAACTTGGAATCTCAAGTACCGGTAATGCATTACGAGATCATTATGAAAATTTTGTAAGTATTTTTTCAACTCCAACGAGAATTAAAGATTGGAATTTGTTTAAAATCTGTTTCTTTCTCTCATATTTAGAGAAAATAAAACTATGTAGCTAACTCGTAGCTAAGTTTAATTTGCATATGTATAATGACTTCTTAACTTGGTTGTAATTTTTTTATACCGAGTGCACGACTGGTTTATACCTATAATCTAATCTTTGAATTCATATATATATATATACTACTTGAGATATGGGTTTCAAAAGAATAGATTTGAGATCGAATTCTTAGAGCTGCAATTCAATTAATCTAGAGTAACTCAAATGTTGATCATGTTAATGCTCATATAATAAAGATCTTGGCAAATTAGAGTTACTCATGTTTATCAAAAAGCTAATTGTTGTGTAGATTAATTGGTTAGCTGACCATACTTTTGCATTGACACTAGGGATCCATCTAGTACCAAGTGTTCCTCCTAGTTGTTTTTTTGTTGTATTAGAAGATACATATGGGATTATTTTTTCTAGAACGTTTGTTAAGTAATTTCTCCTCATATGTCGGTTGGTTACTATAAATGAAAGGTTTGGAATCGAAATGAAAACTAAAAAAATCAAAATTACATTTTCATTCTCATATTGGTTTAGAATACTAATGAGCAATCGAAATGCAATTAAAATTTTTTCACATATGGCTTTTTATACAAATAAAAACAATGATTAAAAAATAATTTTATTAAACTATATTGGTTGTAAAAATAATAAAGATGATGGTGGTGGTGGTAGTGATAGTGATAGTTAATATATAATAAATAAAATATATTATTATTTAAAAAAATTATTCTCATTCCTTCTTTTTTTCTCACATTTTAACCGAGAATGAAATTGTGTAATTTCCATTCTCATTCATACTCTTCATTCTCATTTTTACTTCATTCTTTTTAACCAAATAGACACAAGTCGATGAGAATAAAACTTTCATTCTCATTCCCACCACTCCATTCATGATGATTAAACAACAAGAGTTTTAAACTCTTCCTTCAATAAAAATAAAATAATAATAATAAAAAATATTTCTTTACAATATCTTGAACTGCCTAGATTTAAATGCTGAGTAAATTATTCTTTAGTCCCATGGTTTTCAAAAAAGTATAGTTATTATTTATTTTTTATTTTTTTATTAATTATCTATTATCATTTGTCAAAAAAGGACAATTTTTGTTATTTGGTGTCGAAATTTTTCACGTATACTAATAAAAATTCAATTTATATTTAAAATAGTTTCAAATTTTTTTGTGATCATGAAGTATTTTTGTTAATTTTCTTAAATATTTACAAAATCTTAAAAAAAATAGAAAATATTTTGGAATGGTTCCAAATTTTGTTTGAGAACTTAAAAGATCGTATACATTTATTTGCTTATTTTTAGTATAATTATTAAAATATTTGCATATGTTGATCTAAAAGTTAAACTATTTTAAATTTTGATTAAATATCATGAATTCGGCCATACACATATTTCAAAAAGCATACTAAAAATACATTTCACCCGTAAGTTATAACCTGCATCTGCATGTAAAGAAATAAAAGTGCATCTAAAGAAATAAAAGGGAATGTAGTCCATAAAGATACATATTCAATAGGCAGACAGTTCCAAACTTCCAAATCACCTTTTCTGGAAGTTCAGCCTTCCAATAAAATAAGCAAAAAGAGAAGCAAAGACGATGGGAAAGATTATAAGAACAACAGCAACGAAGGTCAAGAAGTTGTGGTGAAAACCAAAGTAATCTCCTAAAAAGGCAGCAACAGTTTTAGTCTGGCCAAACGCTGTTATTTCTTTCTCTATATCTCCATATTGTGAAGTGAGCAAACCATTCAGTTGCCATGATGTGGGACTTATATAATACAACCAAATCCACCACTTCGGAATATACTGCAAGAAGCAAAAAGACCCCGTTATTGGGAATCTAATAAGATATGTATATTTTCGTAATTAAAGTTCAAAGAACAAGTATATCTCAGGTGGAAGCCGCAACCAAGCAGAAAAAACTAAGGATTCTTCTATAGTAATTTGCGGTGAATGAATTTCATTTTGCTCACAATAGCCTGATATCCTAGCAAATGTATCCTGAACCTTCAGGTACCCATTGACTCTTATCTCTCCTTCAATAGTACCAAGAGTTTTCCTTCCAGAGAGAACGTCCAGAAGAGTTGTTTTCCCTGCTCCACTAGCACCCATGAGTGCTGTAAGAATACCGGGCCTGAATGCACCCGTAATGTCAGAAAGAAGCTGGAGCATCTTCTGCGAAAAACCTCGCTTTCTCATTTCCTGAGACAAACAATGGCATGAATACGCTGATTTAATTTATAACTGCTCAGGATCAAGGAAAATCTAGAATTATCATGATTACCAAAGGAGTATCAACATGGTACTGCACATCTTTAAATGTCAACGTAAGGGGCTCAAAAGGTAAAACCAACCCTCCTGCAAAATTGAATGATGGATGGAACTACTGTTATATGTATACATTCAAATATGCCTAACCATGGTAAGGTCAAAAGGCAAAAACCTTCTGCATTAATGCTATTTACACTAAAATCAAATGAAAGAATAAAGAAGCACGGTCACCTTTTTTAGGTCCTGTACTAGATTTAGGACAAGCAGTGGTCAATGTCTTGTTTTTGTCAACACAGTTACCACCACATTTCTTTCCTTGCAGTCCACAGTACTTTTCATAAGAAATAATAGCACGAGATTTACCTGGAGCTGAGTCGGTATAATTTATAGATGCATTTGGGTCAGCATGCTTCAACAAATTATTTGTCTTGAAAAGCTTACCAAGCAGTGGAAGATGAACTTACATTCCAAGAAAGTTAAAGCCAAAATAAAAGCAGTGTTGAAAAGTGCTGTGAATCCAATTGGGGCACCAACTGATATCCAATAAAAATAACCGTGAAAGTTTAATCCACGGCTTTCTAGTATTCGTTGCCCAGCGGTTGCATTAGCAGACAAAACCTGTGTATAAAATTAAGAGCACATGACTTTCGCTACATTGATGGCCAAGTGGCTACTACTCACTATAGCAAATGCAAAGTAATAAGAGCAGACTCAACCTCCACCTGATTCTCCGAAATGATAAGTAAGCAAAAAACTTGAAGAAATTAATCCATTATTAAAGAAGCTTTAGCTCTATATTTTCCATGCTTCTTGCAATATCCATGAGATATATCCATATGAAATTATTTTTCCATCTCAACAACATTTTTTAGAAGAAATTTTCATATCTTAGCCTGTAAAAACATCTACCTAGCTGATTTATGCTCAGGGTAAGATTTTCTGCTCCCATTTCATCTAAAACTTTCCTTTGTGAACTTCAACTCGTAGCCAATATTGGAAACCTACCAATATAAACAAACAAGGGTTGACTAGATAAATTTTACCTTTCCCCATCTGGGGGCGAGAAACTCATTCACAGTCAAGCCGATCTCCCCATATGTCAAAGGAGAAAACCAAAATCCCCATTGCAGCCGAACAGGCATAGAGGCTGCAAGAAAGCAAGCATCCAGCATAATTATCCAAAAAAAAGTTCTATGGACAGGATTATCAGAAGAGCCAAGTGAAGTCTTACATTTTTGGATTAAAAAGCCACCAAATAGTAAAACAATCAATACAATGAGACTGCCAGCTAGTATTGAAGCAACCACAGTTTGGAAGACTGAGGCAGCAAAACGATACATGGATATTGATGTTAGATGTACCAAAAAGAATAGAAGGAACTGGCGGAAAAACCTGAGAAACACATCAAAATGGGAACTGGAATTAGTCATTTATGACATCCACAGTTCCAAAAATAAGGAGCGATCTTTAGTGAAGAAATTAGGAAACATGTAATCTTGTTATGCTCAATCAGAACTAGAATAACATTCCCTGCACAATTTCCAGGAGAAAATGATATAGCTTCTATCCAATGAATCCTATGGAAAACATATCCTTCTCAAAAATCAGAGCACAGTAACAGTTGAATCATCTTTTATTCGATTGCCCAGATGATAGTAAAGTTCTCTGGCATGGCTGTTTGATTGTTTTATAAGTTGGATTGGCAAGTGCTGGGGCTGGTTACGTTAACACTTAGCTACTTTACATTTGATCTGTTGAATAAATGGGGCTAGCCTTGAAACCTCAGGGCTGTAACCAACGACATAGTAAGTAAGAGTTGTCCAAACAAAAGCTTCCAAGAATGAAAGTGGAACTTTAAGGATAGCAGCAGGGATCGCATAAGCCCAAGCAGGGTAAAAGCATAACTCTCTTTGTTTATTGAAAACTGCAAGCCTTGAGACAGTCATCTGCACTTCTGGAATTCCATCGACTAGTAATATAATGAGTGAGTAGAATAAAGCACCCATGTAATAATTTGCATGGATTGCATCAAGAGCCATTCTTGAGCGCAGTAAAACAGTCATTGTAACCGAAGCAATGAACACTAGCTGCACAAATACACCCAAAACATGTTTTCAGATAAGGGCTCCGTGATAGCCAATTGTACAAGCTAAAAGTATATATATAAAACCTTTGTGAATCTAAAGCAACATACCAGCACAGATTTGAATACGTAAATAAAATAGTTCCTTTTCATTAAAAGAAATTCCCTCATACAGCAAACTTTAAGCAACTCCCATTTTGTTGTGGAGTACTTTCTGAAGGATAAAGCAGTCTTGTGGCTTTTAGACTTCGCAAATGACTTCGAGAGCTCCTCGTCTAGCTTCCGACCAAATTCACTTTCTTTGAATTTCTTAGCAAACTCGTCAATGGAAATATAACTGTAAGGTTGTTCTGTGCAGTACCAATATTGCGCTTGATCTTTCCTAGAGATCACCTGGATCAAAGTAAAATAATAAGACAGCTTCAGTTTTACAAGTAAATACAAATGGAGAAAAACCTGAAGCTGGCCAACCTACCTCCTGAAGGAAGTCAGGACACCTAAATCCACAGTCTTCAAAAAATGTGCAAATACTAGAACGTGGGCCATGATACACAATCTTTCCTTCAGCCATCAAAATGACGTCATCAAAGAGATCAAAGGTTTCTGTTGCTGGCTGAAGAAGCGAAATCAACACTGTAGCATGAGTAATATGTGCCAACTGCTGGAGACAAGATACAATCTGAGAAGTGGTGGAACTGTCTAGGCCATTTGATATTTCATCCATGAATAATGCTTTTGTTGAACCCACAATCATCTCCCCTTAAAAAATAAAACAAGTAAATAGTTCACTAAGGCAAGTAACAAATCATATTTGATCCAATCCTTGAAGTTCTCGATGCAAACACAACTATATGCTGCAAACTAGCAAATTTCTGTTCCCATACAGACACTACCTGTAGTCAGCCTTTTCTTCTGACCTCCTGAGATACCTATTCTCGTAGCATCCCCAACCATTGTATCAGCACAAATATCAAGTCCTAGAATCTGAAAGAAAGAGGAATAATATTATCATACAAAACCATATTTCAGTAAGAAGCAAAGAGAATCCTCTATAAACAACTTAAGTAGAGTACCTTCAAAACGTAGTCTGTTTGAAGGGCACTTCGTAGTCCCTCAACTGATATTCCCTGTCATAAGATGTTTCAGTTCTGGTAAGGCCAATAAGTACAGAACATCATAAATAGTCAAGGCAGGAGCCTATGCATTGAAAATCTTTTCTATAGTAGTAGCTAGGATAAGTTTGGTGGAACAAAACAGCATGTAAATATGTAATGTAATATCATAGAAGGAGATTGTGGTCATTTTTATGCTTCCGTTACATTACATTGCGCTCGATTACATTTACAAAGAATCTCGTTATTTCATTTAAGATACAAATGAAAAATATCTCACACATGTTAGAAGTACATGGACGGAAACAGAGCTGATTGATGGGTGAAGAAAATGTCTGAAAATAAGAAAGCTTTTTTTATTATTTATTTATTTTATCAGTGGCTTATCCAAACATTTAAAGGAGCTAAATTTCATTGCAAGTCATTTATTAAAAAAAAAAAAAAAACTCTATGTTGACATGATTGGGAGCGTACATATGAAAACATGATTTTTTTTGTTATCATACTTCTGCAATGTGCAAAGGAATCTTATGAGAGTGGAAAGTAAGACATTAGACATACTTATCAGTTTACCTTCATGTATGCATCCGCATCAAATTCTGGCCGTATCCCTGCTTGCTTCTCCCTTCTAATGACTTCCATCAAGATTTCTTTATGCAATGGCAGCATGTTATTTAACTTTATTGAAAAAGAAAAAAAGAAAGACTATCCTGAACAGCACTGATTTGAGAGATTGATTTGGCAAGAAATTCGTGGTAAAGTTCTGATTAATATAAAAAATTTCCAGTTTCTTGCCTAAAGATTACCTGCTCTGCTTCCTATGCCCTGACAACAAGCGGAAAATCAATCGTTTCCCTCACTGTCACTTCTGGAATATGCAGATCATATTGGCTTACATAAGCTGAAGTTTTCTGAGGAACAAACTCTTCCAACCCGTAACCATTGTAAGATAATTCCCCTGAAAGCTGTAGAACAATTGATGTTAAACAGTTAAAAGTGTAAAAGCAGGTTACGTCTTGTACAACTAGAAAAACGTTAAAATACCTCGAGGGAATGACTCAGTTTCCCAGAGAGCGCCAACAACAACGTGGTTTTGCCACACCCTGGAGGGCCGAGCAGTAAAGTCATCCTGCCACAAAGATGAACTAGAACTAGTGAACTTGAAATTAACATGTTGTACATGTGCCTATTCACTGATCAGAAAAACTCACTAAACTTGAGCATATTTGAAAGTCAGCTACCTTCCCGGCTTAATAAGGCCGGAGACATCTTTTAGGATGCTTATCTTGGCTCTTCGTCTCAGACAAGACAGATTGACAAACCCCTGGCACAACACAAAAAGCTTGAACGAAAAAAAAAACCCACTTGATTAAGCTCTGCTTATTCTCCCTATTGTATGCAAGTTCTTACAGAAAGCATGCTCTTGGCAGTGCTCCACAGAGTAGGGAGAGGCTTGCCATGAACCACCTCACATTCTGCTCCAACACCAAGACTGGTGTATCTCACTTCCACTGTGGGAAACTCTACACCAACCCTGAATAACATAGATAAAAACCTTACCTTTCAAGAATTATTTCATGTTACTAAAACGCGTTAAAAGGGTAAAAAAAAGTGTTACTGGTCAAGTCTTTTTCCAAGTTTTTGCAGCTATCGGAGATTATCATTTTCAATGTGCTTGATGAGCTTCTCAATGAACATATGCCGGTCTTGAGCTCCAAGCTTGGCAACGTTAACTATTCTTTTACCTTTAGCACCTGCTTGTTTATTTCCAGTTGTGCCATCGTCTACCTCATCCAATAAAGCAGTAGTAATCCGTTCAAAGGTTGGTAACCTCTCAATAGTAGCCCATTGTTGCAAGTCATTCTCGTCAACCCCATTGCTAATATTATGCTTAGAAATCCCTATCGAAACATTATGAGAACTTGACACAAGACTCCCACTTAATGAGGACATGGTATCTCTTGTTCCAGCTTGTGTTAACTGGATATCCTGTACATACTCTATCTTAACAGGGTCACTCCTCTGGCTATCCATTGATGGATAGACTGAAATGCTTCAACGTTTTGTGTTGTTATTCACAAAGTAGAGGGGTGCCCATCTTCCATATATGATTACACACGCTAGCTAGTTTGATATTTCATAATATAATAATGCAAAAAATGAATATCTTCCAACTTTGTTCAACTTTTCCTGATAAGGCGCTCGTCGTGTAAAGCACATAAAAAATTCGTTTCGTTCATGGAATCCACGCATATTTCATTTAAAAACGTTTGAAAAAGAATTCCCAAGACCCACCCATTAGTGCGCATACCTACAACCTTAAAAGAAAACGAAAAAATAAATGGGACTCCTGTAGATGATTGGCATTCTCTCTGCACTTGCATTAGTACCACATTCTTATTAACTTTCTTCTTTTTTCTTTTTTCTTTTTTTTTACCTTAAAAATCACGAATTTTTCTTTCGTTACTTCTCTCTTCTCTGCCCCCTCCTCTCTCTCCCAGAACCAACACCATCGAAACTACCATCATAGAATCCAGCGAAATATTTCTGGCTACCACTTCTTTGGCTTATCCTATGTGTCACTGTGTCTTTACTCAACTAAATAAACACAGCCTTTCTTATGGCTAAATATTTGAGGGCCAAGCCAAGAATGCCAATTGTAGAAGCTACAAAAAGCAAAGGACATTATTTGAATTAAGAAAGAGGAACATGCTATTCAATTTAATTGTTGGCATTTATCTCATCTTATCTAAAGTGCTTAACTCTCATTCTTCTGTTCCTAAAATGCCAAAACTCATTTAAAGTTTAATGTTTGTTTATTGTATTCCAAAATCATAAACTTAATATTTTTTAATCATTTTAACATATTTAAAATATAAACTAATCTTTTAATAAACAGGCCTTAATTTTTATAAACAAATTTTAGTTTTAAGTGACGTGGTGTGATTGATAAAAAGACAGTATGAGATAAATGCCACTTAGAATTATAAGTAGAATTCTCTAACTCTCCAATTATGACATATCTAAAAAAGGATGAGATTTCACTGTAGTTAAACCCTTGTTATAGTGAAACTAAAACAACACTGTTTTGGATCTTTTAGACTCAAAACAACATCGTTTTCCTATAAAAAAAAAAAAAAAGTAATTTTTTATCATTTTTTTAAATATTTTACACTTTAATCATCTAAGTTATTACGTTATACAAAAAAGTTTCTAATTTTAATTAATATTACAAAAAGGTTTCTATAATTTTTTTTGCCGATGAGTTGTTTTTTCATGAATTATAATCAAAATAATTTTTTTTCATGATTAATAGTTACTTTTTCTATTTTTATAAATATTCATTAACTAAAATTAAATATTCTTCTAATATTAATTGATTAAGCACCTCTTTCTAATTTGATTTTTTTAAAAAATAAATAATTAATTACATGTATTTTTTATTTATCAAAATAAAAATATTTCTAAGATATATTTAAATTCAATTATTTATATATAGAGAGAGTAAATTAAATATTTTTTTTACAATGAGTATTAATTAGTTTTTATTTTACGTTTATATTTTAAAATTATTTAAAATATTGAAACATAAATATAATAAAACGACGGCGACGAGTGGGTATTGGGCTCGTAAATATACTGTGAGCATAGAAGAGAAGTTGGATTGTTCTTGTGTAACAAAGAGGAGAATTGTGATTTTGCTTCTCTTTCTATTTTTCTCTCAAGCTTCTCTTTTTTATTCAAACAAATAGTGCCGCTGCCACCAGATGCATCAATACCTTTCCTTAATCATACCACATACAAGTTTACAACAACTTTTAAAATTTATATTTAATATCAACTAATTTCATATTTTACACTTTTATTTTATTGGTAAGAGAAATAATATTTTATTAAATGAACTCCTCTAGTTATGAACTATATCTCAATCATTCTCAAACCCAATTGAAAAATCCCAAAACCCACAAACAGCCACCTTTTTTTTTCCTTCACCCAAAAACCTTGCTGCTGCCACTCCTTGCCGCCGACCTCCAGCAGCCCAACTCTCCTTATTCGCACTTTTGCCTGCTAATTCGGTCCTCTTGTTACAAGAATTTGAAGAGGGCTGACTTACATCAACTCGGAGTTTTCCGAAGTAAGAACCTAATAATTTCAGTTGCTTCTCACTAGTACCACACTTTGATGCATAACACACCACAGAGAGATTTTCACCACTTGCTCTCTGGATTTTTTGCATGTGGGGTGCGTCAATCATGTTCTGAAATTTCAAAAGACCTTGGCTAAGAATCGTTCCTTTTGAAGCATTCATCCCCCTAGTCTAAACTTTCACCAAAACATCAGCAGTAGTATATAATGCCGGCCAATTCCTCCTCACATCACTTGAAATTGATGGAACGACGAGAGTTGCAGCGAATAAGGAGGCTGGGAATGGGATGCTGGAGGTCGGCGGCATGGAGTGGCAGCAGCAAGGGCGGCAGTGGTAAGGTTTTTGGTTGAAGAGAAAAAAATGGTGGCTGTGTGTGGGTTTTGATGGATTTGGATTTTTCAATTAGGTTAATGATTGACGTGTAGTTAATAATTGGTGAATTAATTTATCAAATAAACCAAATGGAATCTTATGTGTAATCTCATATGGCATTTATAACATATTGTCATCCTGTCAATTACGTCATATCAGGGAAAACAAAATTTAAACTGAAAAAATTTATAATTATCAAAAATTAAATTCATATCTTTTTTTGTAAGACATTAAAAAAAAACGTATTAAAATAATTAAAATATTAAATTCATAATTTTATAATTAAATAAACCTTTAATTTTTAAAAATTCACAACTTTGATGAATTATTCTTTGATTGCTCTGCCTATTCTTAATTAAAGTAAAATCTACTACTAGCTGAGATTTCTTCTCGCTCTACTTTCAATTGTGTAATTTTTATAATAAAATCTCAAGTTAAAAAGCAAACATAAGTTTGAAATCATTTGTATATTCTGTCTAGATATTGAAAATTTATTATATTAATAACTTAATCACTAACGACCAAATTACTAAAATAAAAAAAATTTAATAAGTAAAAATTCATTTGTACGTAGTGTGAGTAAGGATAGTAAATAGTATATGCTTAATCTTCAAACCCAGAACCATCTAGGAGTGGACAAAGTTCATATGTGAAGTTGCCAAGAAAGGTGACTAAAAAAAGCTATGGATCGGGACGGCAATAGTAGATTGGAAGGCGGTTGACATGGTAGTAATGAAAGACAATGGTGGCCAAATGACAATATTAGTTTAGATATACAATACAATTGGTATAAGAGAAATGGAAAACATCTGAGAGAAAAAAAGAAATTGAGCCAAAAATATTTAAATTGAAAACGTAATTTTTATGTATGGTTACGTTTTAAGTTTAGATTAATTGAATACGTATTATTTTTAAAATTATTACGTGAACTTCATGTATGATAAAAATTAATCAAAATAATCTATTATTTACTAAAATATAGCTCATGGTATTCAAATTAAAAAATTTAAATTATATATCTTACCTTGATTCGAAGTTCATAGTATCATTTAACCTCAAAACAACAAGAATAAAGGTACTCTAATCTTAAATAATAATAAAATAACAGAAAAAAAGGTGGTACGGATTCCACTAATAGCACGAGTGCAGAGCCTTCTATTTAATTTATTCGCATGCTTTCTGTCGGCATCTAGGCATGGCCACATCAGTCTTCACCATGAGAAGGCTTTGCTCATCATTCCTCAAAGACACGAGTGATGAGACTTTTCCTTTTCTTTTGCTTTTGTTCGAAACGAAAGACCCTTTTGTTTTAGGGAAACGATTGGTTCACGAGAAAGACAACAAAAGCCTTGAAATACAGGGCAGTGAGGAGCAACAAGTGGATCTTTTGATGTGTGGGTTTTGCTTTACTTGGGGAAGTGTTCTGCCATTATGAGTCTCTAGTTGTTGTTAACGTATCAAATCCACATTATTCTTGGTAGATTTTGATATCAATTCACCATTACTTAGGCATTATTCTTGGTAATTGATTGAAAGAATCCATTATTATTTTTAGTGATTAACGTATCAATTCACCATTACTTTTAGCATTAGTTTTTGTGATTGATTGAAGGAATCCATCATTATTCTTAGTGATTAACTTATCAATTCACCATTACTCTTGACTCTATTCTTGGTGATTGATGGAGGAATTTTGAAAAATTGATTACAATTAATTTCAAAGATTTATGGAATCAATTAGTTTTAATTTTGTGGATTACATTCTTTATATAGATTGATGAAAAATATGTATAAATTGACTACTGAGATGTAATCTTTGATATGAAAATAAAATAAGGTGATGTTTGATGATCAAGAATAGAGTGATGGAATTGAAATACAAGAATCAGAATGAAAATTAAAGAATTGGAATGGCATTTGTATTTCCATACTTTATTTGGAATATTAATGAGGAATAAGAATACAATTTAAATTTTTTTAATATCCGATTGTTTATACAAATAAAAATAATAATTAAAAAAATAATTTTATCAAACTATAATGATTATAAAAATAATAAAGATAGTGGTGGTGGTGGTAGTGGTTATGATAATGGTGGTGATGGTGGCGGTGATGACGATGGTGGTTACGGTAGTAGTGGTGGTAGTGGTTATGATGGTTGAGGTGGTGGTGATAAAAGTAGTTAATAAATAATAAATAAATAAAATATATTATTATTTTGAAAAAAAAATCATTCTCATTCCTTGTTTTTATTCTCACGTCTTATGTGGAAATGAAGTTGTGTGTAAATTTTTATTCCTATTCTCACTCTTCATTCTCATTCACACTTCATTCCTTTTAACCAAAAAGCTACAACGTGGTAATAAAACTTTCATTCTCATTCTTACTACTTTATTCCTCATTACCAAATAACACCTAAGTTTTTACGCATTTCTTTTCACTTACAATATTATTTTACTTGTGAAGTGTGGGCCTTATAAATTAGAGTTAGTTGAGGTTACGAGTGTCATTGCAAGCCTATATAATTTTGTGGTGTACAAACAAAAATAGCAAGGTTAATATGCATGTACCTACTTCCTCATCTAACTTGTCTCTTAATTTTTAGATGAGAATAGCACTGCCACAAATATTTCGAACCTCAAAACCCTATTATTCCCACTATTACTTCTCTTAACTCTTCTTTTAGCACCATAAGACAAAATATTATCACCTCAAGTACTCTTGACACTCTTTCTCTCTTTATCACTCTAGTAGATGTCCTAATGTCCTAATGTCCTCAACATATATGGTTATTCATCTAAAAGATATGATAAGTCATATGTTTTGCTCACAACTTTGGATTTAATTTCCATACCTACTTACTATCATCAAGTAGATAATCAAGAGTGTTAGAGACCAAAAATGAATGAGGAGCTCTGCCTCTTGAGAATAATAAACTTAGGATATGATATCATTTCCTTTTAGTGCATCTATCATTGGAACTAAATGGGTTTTTACAATCAAACTAAAGGCGGTGGTAGCCTTGAACAATATAAGGTATGATTAGTTGCTCAAGAGTTCAAGCAAGAATATAGGCTAAATTATGAGGAGACTTTTGCTCCGGTTGCTAAAATGATTATAATATATAGACTTTTGGCGGTTGCATCTATTCAAAGATAGACCCTACATCGGATGGATGGCAAAAATTCTTACTCTATAGAGACCTCAAGGAAACAATATATATGAAGCCTCTTCTCGGGTTTTCAATTCCTCGGCCTAATTTTGTATGTCGTCTTTACAAATTTCTTTATGGACTAATACAAGCACCTCGAGATTGGTTTGAAAAGTTTCATTCTATCATTCTTCGAGTTGGATTTACACAAAATACTATTGGCATCCCTTGTTTTTTAGACAAACAACCATAGGTGTCACCATTCTCTTTTTATATGTCGATGATATTATCATTACTAGGGATGATGAAGCAAGTATTGAGCGAGCTTAAGAATTTTCTCAATGCCTCTTTCATATGAAGGATTTGGATTTGCTAACCTATTTTTTTAGGATTAGAAGTCTCTTACACATCTCAAAAGATTTCTCTTAAGCAACAAAAGTATAGACCAAATGTTATTCATCTAGCCAATCTCACAAATAACAAGGTAGTTCACACTCCTATGGAAATCAATATTAAATATGCCAAAGATTATGGCGCATCGCTCTCATCCAATTTTATACCAACGTTTGGTTGGTAGTCTTATCTCGTCTCACCATGACTCATCTAGATATAGCATAGAATGTTCGAGTATCTAACCCTTATTAGCTTCATTATATTGCCTTGCTACAAGTTATCATATATCTACGTGGCATGACTGATTGTGGACTTTTCTATGCTACTACTTCTTCATCATAATTAGTAGGATATGTAAATGCTTATTAGGCTGATTTTTGTCGTTCTACCACAAGTTGGTTTGTATTCTTATTACGGGATTCTCTCATTTCTTGGAAGTGCAAGAAACAAAAGAGTTTCGAACTCATCCATATCGAAGCTGAATATAGATTCATATCAATAGCTAGTTTTGAGATTATTTGGCTTTTTCAATTATTACCTAAGATAGGAATTTCACTTACTATGCCTACTCGATTGTATGCCGACAACACTTGTGCTTGTCCAGATTGCCATGAATCCGAGTGTTTCAAGAGCATTCAAACCATGTTGAAATTAGTTGTCACCGCATTCATGATCTTATTGGAGATTCAACTATTGCGGTAGCACATATTTCTTCATAAGATCAACTTGCCAATTTGTTCATAAAATCTATGACCAAGAATTGCCATTGCTACTTACTATCCAAATTGATGCTTGGATACAATTGCATCAATTTGAGGGGATGTTAACATATCAAAATCCACCATTATTTTTGGTGGATTTTGGTATAAATTCACTATTATTTTTTACATTATTCTTGGCGATTGATTGAAGGAATCCACTATTATTCTTCGTGATTAATATATAAATTTACAATTACTCTTGACACTATTTTTGGTGATTGATTGAGAGATTTTGAATGATTGATTACAATTAATTGCTGAAATTTATGAAATCAATTAGCTTTAATTTACATATTATATTTTTTTTTATAGATTTATGAGAATGTGTATAAATAAACTCATAAAATGTATTGTTTCATACAAAAATATATTCGGTTTTCACATTTTTATTCTCACTTATAATATTATTTTAGTTGTGAAGTGTGAGGTCTTCTAAACCAGAGTTAGTTAAGGTTGCGGGTCTTGTTGCAAGCGTATGTAATTTTCTCGATGTATGAATAGAAATAACAAGGTTAATTGATGGATAAGGGTTTTGTTGCCTATATAATTTCTATTGTTTAGGGCACCATCACTTATAACCTTACTAATTTGAATTGAAGAAAAAGAGAATCCAAAGTTTTGGGTCTGAATTTGTTTTTACCCATTCGTTACCCATTTCTAAGGATAATCCGCCGTAAGTTGAAGATGACAGGTGCGGTTTTGGTTTTGCCCATGTAATACTCGAAATGTTTCGTTTTAGTCCTATCCGTTAATAATTTGTTTGTAGTTTGATATAATAAATTATAAATTAGTCCCTCTAGATTTAAGAAACAAATTAATTAATCTCCCTCGTTTAAAAAATTATTATTTCATCCTTTAATCATTATTGAACATGTTTAATTTAATATTGTTTTTATTCTATAAAATCTCTTATTTGCTCTTCAATCTTTCTATATTTTTTCATATTTTTTCCTTTTTCTATTTCTTGTAAAAAAAATCAAAAAATAAAATAAAAAGGAGAAAAATGACTAAATTACAAAAAGAATTCAAAAAACAGGAACTAAATGATTAGTTTTTTAAATGAAAAAGATTAACTAATTTGTTTTTCAAAACGAAAGGAACTAATTTATAATTTACTCAAATAAACTGATGGGATTTTTTTTTCCTTTCTTTTTGTTCTTTTTCAAAAAATAGAAACTTCTTGGATGTCTGTAATTACTGGAATCATTACACAGAAACTGATACGATAGAGGTAGAGGGTCAGAAACCCCCGAGTCACTAGGACAGCATGATCCTCTGCTTGCTCTGGCCAACCAATCTGCCACTTTGTTAGCTTCTCTACTAATGGCTAACACAGATACATTTGGCAAACTTGTGAGCATGGATTTCATGTCTTCAACTAAGGCATCAATCTCCCAAAAATTAGGCCCCCTCTCCTGGTACGTAGCCTTTTCAACAATGGTGCTGGAGAAAAACTTCTATAATTGCCAAGAAAAAAAGTACAAATAATTCAGTCAAAATATAAGAAAATATCACATCAAGAATGGGCATAGTTTAACACATTATTCTTAAACAGGCATATAGCTTTAAACATAAAATTTATGGTTATAATGGATTGATTTTTTTTTTTTTTTTTTACAAAGTTACTATTGAGATATATATAAGGGCATAGGTTTTTTTCCAAGAAAAATAGAAAAAAAAACGAGGTTAAAGGAGGTTGAGATTGCTGTTGATGATGGCTTTAGAAGGATAAAGTGCATCAGATTCGGTTGACGACGGTTGGGATTGCTGTTGAGGATGCGTTTAGAAGGACAAAGTGCAACACATTTGGAGTGAATAATGTGCACCATAGGTGTTGTCATTTTCTGTTCATTGACAAAATATTGTCAACGGATCACTGCCTTCCGTTTTCTGTATGTTGATGATATATCCCCTCCAATCTCCATCCTTTTTTTATCTCTGAAACAAAGTGGGATCAGAGCCTCATTGAGAGACTTGAGCCTAAATAATTAAGGGCCCAAATGGAACCACAGACTACAGACACCCAGCCCAGAATGCAGTATTGCCATAGCCGAATAGGAATGGCAATGGGGCCACCCCCTGAAAAGCCCCGTCCCATGCCCCCACGTGGGGCAATATTTCCCCTATCACCCCTATTCTCGTGAGGCACCGAGGATCCCAGCAAAGAATCCGTGTTCCACTTAATTTTTTGTGTCCAACTCGTTTCATTTTACACTATATCATCTTGTGCATAATTTTAAATTATAACAAAAAGATAATGATTCATTTAAAAAATACAATTAAGAAAGATAATCATTTAATTTCATATTCAATTATAAGTTTACAACACAACTCATAATATATTAAATTGATTTCATTCGAATAAATAACATAATTAAATTAATAAAATATCACAAATACAATTAAAAAACATAAATTGTTATATGTCTTTACTGTTTAAAAATCATCAAAACTTACTCATTATATTAAAGATTAATCTATAACCTCATCATATATATATATATATATTGGATATAATTATAATTTAAAAAAAAAATAACGAGATCGGACGGACAAATACCATCCTCGTCTCATTCCGTTCAAAGTCAACGTGGGACGGTACATCCTACTCCGTTCTCTAATCAACTCGAGGAACCCTTGTGTTGACCGAGACGGGGAAGGGTAGGGCCCGGCAAGTTGCCTTCCCTATAGCCGATATGCCTTCTGGGAACACTTCCTAGTTCCAGCTACGCAACTGAGGATGCAGTCCATCCTTCCTGTAGCTGTATTGCACTGTTCCCGACAGAAGTTCTATCCATTTACTTACCTCTCTAATGAGAACAACAGGAACACATGGCATTTTACAAGGAGGAAAAAGTGAAACAAACAAATTCTAGTATTTAAAATTAACCAAATGATATCCTAAAGCTTGCACAGAAACACTGATCAAATTGATCACATCAAAACTGTGTATCTTACATATGCTCACAGGATTGCCGAAGCAATTTACAGTACTCTGTTGCAGCCCGAGTGATAACGAATGCTATCCTCCAATCTAGTAAAGAAAAGCTTTGACCGTCCAAGGAATCAGAGACAGAACAGCGTGAGCAAAACATTTCAGCCACTTCCCAAGAAAATTTGATATTAAGGTGAAAAGCAGCAATTGTTTTTGTCAGAAATCAACCACAAATTCCACCCGATGATCTAACCATTTAGAGTACCATTGGCAATCATCTCCTGCTTCTCCTGCTCCAAATAGTAGATCTTGTCATTCATACCTTCCTTTCTGTATGCCTCAACCATGATAGAGTAGGTTCTGGAATCTGGTTGGCATTGCTTGTCTTTCATCCGCTTAAAGACTCTCTCCATCTCCATCAAATCATCTGCCTTTGCACATGCAGATATAACTGCATTATAGAATGATGTATTCTCTGGTATCTCAAACTTCGCAGCCAACAGAACACAGCCAATGACCTTATGGAAGAGACCTGCATTCGCATATCCGTTAATAAGACAACAAAATGTCTTTGTATCTGCTTTCATAGCCTCTGCACGCATCTGATCGAATGTGTACTCCATATTTTTTGCATCCCCCACATCTGCAAATGCCTCAATAACATTATTGTAAGTGGAGGTTGTCCATGGAAACTGAAGCTTGCGCATGTATTCCATCACAGATGACATCTTATCATACATTCGTTTCTTCCCATATGCACCAATCAAAATATTAAAAGTGCGTGTTTCCGGCTCAATTCCAAAATTCCGAAATTTCTCATACCATCTCTCCATCAAATCAATCTGACCCTTATTACCAAACACACTAAGAATTATATTCAGAGTCCAAACATCAGGTTTACATGCCGTGCTCTCTAACATCGCAGATAAAACTCTCTCCATCTGATCATGCATCCCCACCTTCCCATATCCGCTCAAAACTATATTCTGCGTGACCGTGTTTGGACTTATCAATCTTTCATCCATTTCTTGATACAGAGTGTCAATCAACTCAAATCTCGAAGCATCAACACAAGCTTTAAGTAAAGTGCTATAAGAGTAAACATCAGGCTGGCAACTTGGGAGACTCTTCATCTGGTTAATAATTGAGAAACCCTCATCGATAAGATTGTTTCGACAATAAGCTGCTAGCAATGCTGTGTAAAGTTCAGGTGTGGGTTCTATTCCTTCTTCAACCATTTGGTCGAAAAGTTGATGGGCACGTTGAGGCTGACCACATCTCCCCAGGAGAACCAAGAGTTTCATGTAGGTACCTTCTTTTGGTTGATAAAAAGGTTGTTCCTTTAGCATCTCGAACACCTAAAGATCCAAAATTTCTGAAAAAATTATTGGTTTGGTGGCCAATCCCAACATAATTAAACAGAAAATAAACTTACAAAGTTGTTAATTTTCAAGTAAAATTGGTTTCGTGCATGTAAAGGGTTGTTCCTTTTAACATCCTCAAACACATAAAAATCCAAACTTCAAGCAAAATTATGGGTCTGGTTGCTAATTATAACATAATTAAAGACAAAACAAGAAAACCCCAATTGGTGATTTTGAAGTAAAATTAATTAAAGAAGAGTGTTAGTAAGTAACCTGAAGTGCTTGGAGCCATTGTTTCTTGAGGACGCAATCAGTTAAAGCTTCGGCTACAGTATTAACCCAAGCCTTGGCTTTGTTCTTGCGGTCTAACTTCTTCTTGATGTTTTTTATTGCGGTTCTCCTGGGAACTGAAGTGTAGGTAATTCCAGGGAATTCGCCTTGTTTCCAAAGCTTCTTTTTAGGAGAAGTTGAAGACGGTGGTGCTGCTGCAGCAGAGGAAAATGCACATCGAAGAAGAAGTTTATCTGCGTGAAGAGGGTTTTGGTTTTGGGGCTGATAGGTTTTGTGTTTAGGGGTGATTTTGTTGTGAGGAAGAGGAGAGGGGAGGAGTGAAGACGAGAAGGAGACAGACATAGTCGAGTTTAGTTTCTTGGGACTCTTCTCTTACTGTCTGTGTTGGCGGGTGGATGGATACAGTAGCGGAGACAATAAATAATAATATCTTCCGTTTGCTACTTGGTTATAGGCTTGTAGCTGGCTGTTGTGTTCAAAACAAGATTGATTTACGAGGGATTGGGATCTTTCACGTTCCATCCTTCATTTTATCTTGACAATGAATTTAAATTATTAAATAGTTATGATTCAATGTATGAAAAGAATTGGCAACATAACTGCAACAAATTATCTCGATGTATCAAAAAAAAAAAAAAAAATCTTAGCTGCATAGAATTGGAACCTACTCAATTTCTAGTTTGAGAATATGAAATTTTGGCACAAAATTATAAGCAAAGAATTGGGATGTTCTTTTGAACATGATAGATTCAATATGTCTACATATGTGCATATTATTTACAACAGTGTACAAAATAAATTTGATTGATATCGTGAATTTTATCGTGGTTGAATATTTTGGAAGAACTCCAAACAAGTAAGGGTGTAAGGTTACTGTAATTTATTTATCCAGAATATTTTTGGTTTTATCATTTTATGGTGAACATGGAATTACAAATTCCATAACATTTTTTATGCTTCATGCATGTTTCATATACTAATTTCTTGACTTGTGCTTTGCAAGTTTATTATTTATCTAATTTATGCTATTTTTTCTAATTTTTAAAAGATTGTTTAAAAAACTGTTTATAAATAATAAACAATTGAATGTTTATTAAATAAACAATTTTTTATTTTCAAATAATCTCATATAAATTTTGATGATTATTATTAAATTAATTGGTTTAATTTATGAACCATGCAATATAATTTAAATTGCAATTAATTAAAAATTAGGGATGCAATTGAATTATCTCTTTCAAAAATTAATAATTAATAGTTAGGATAAATATGCATAACTCTTAAAAATAATAATTACTAAAAAAATTACTTGATTTTGTATTATTATAAACCTTTTTTATTTTTGTAAATCTATTTTCAATTAGATATAACATGATTATGAATTAATAATACATACGTGCACAAAAATTTTATAAATCATTTTTTTAATCAACCTTTTTTTTAATATTATCAAAGGGTAAAAGCTAATTATTCGATTTTACATTTCGATGAATTTTCATGTAATCTAATTATTTTTTAATTTAATTACTTTATGCTTTTTATTGGCTTTTTTAAAAGCTTTTTTAGAGTGTTGATTGTCAAAACAAAATACCAATATAGTACTGTATAGTTTAATTAGAAATTAGAAGTAAGTTAAGTAGCTCATTTAGGATATATATATATATATATATATATATATATAAAGTAATAATTATAAAACTAGATTAACCAATAGTTTAGGATTTATTCTAAAAAAAAAAAATAGCTTATAGTTTAGGAATTAATAATTTTATAAAATAGATTATTTGTCGGCCTATATTTTCATACAAATGAAATAAACCTTTCCAAGTGGGTATTCGAAGTAGATTTTAATTTTGAAAACGGGTTTTCAAAGTTTTGGCATCAATATAATGCTATGAAAATTTGAATTAATTTTTTGAATTGAACTTCTAAACTCCAACAATACACATAAATCAAAAGTTATGACTGATCGAAGCGATAATATCCATATATCACTCAATGATTATAACTCTACTAAAAATCACAACAATTCTATATGTTATATGATATAACCTTTGATTTTGAAAATCTCCAACGAATACAATCTCCATTTATAGAGGCTTCCAAAACCTTTGAAAGCATTGGTTTCCCATTGAGCCTGATGTTTCGGTTCAGCGACCTATGGCATGATATGACGATCACGAGGCCATGGAAGTTACCGAATTGTGGAGAAAGCTGGCCATAACTTAGTCATTGAACTGGATATTGTAAATATATTTGATCACAACAAAGAAAGCTCCCTTAGATGGTCATTATTTGGGTTAATAGTTGCAGAGTTTCTTTATTTATTTTTTTCATTTTTTATCGTGTCTTTTTATTTTATTTTTTTATTTTAAATTCATCCTTCTACATTTGATTTATATTTTAATTTCGTTTTTTCATTAACTTTTTAGATTAACAGTGTTAAATCACACCATTAGTCCCTCAAGATTGTTACATGCGTCAACTTTTTTTTTTCAATCTTAATCTCATCCCTTTAATCTTTTTCTTTCTTCTTCATCTTTTTTTTAAATGAAATTTTAAAAAATAAAAATTGGAAAAGATGAAGATATATTCATTCATAATAAGGATGAAGCTAAAAATATTTTTTTATCCAAATAAAATAAAATAATTATAGTATTTTTTTCAAGTAAAGAGAGTTTTAGTTAAATTTTTAATTTTTTGAATGATATTTATAATTTTATAATACATCAAAAAAGTCTATTATTATGTGCTTATTTTGACTTTACAAATTTCTTAATTTGACTCAAAAATAAGAATATAAAATTTTATTAGTGTTGGACGTAACACTAAAGAATTTCTTAATTTGAATAAAATTTGCAATTAAAAATTTATGTCCTCACTTTTGATTTAAATTACAAAATCTATAAAGTCAAAATAACTAAATTATAATAGAATCTTTTGAGGTATTATAACATTATAAAGTCCATTCAAAAACAAAAATATATTTTTGACCAAAACTCCTTTTGCATTTTAAAAAATACTATAATTATTTTATTTTATATTCAAAATTTGCTTAATATGACAGAGACTAATTTAAACCCATAAAAAATATTTTGAAATAAAAATATATATTTATCTTCACATGTTTTTTGTATTTTGTTCTAAATTTTTAGAAAAAATGACCAAATATATTTTCACCTTTCTTTTCTATTTTTTTTATTTTTCAAATTTTAAATTTGATTAAAAAAATCAAGATCAGGACGAAAAAATAAAATAGATAGACGAAATTAAGACCAAAAAAAATTGACAATTATCATAATTCTATGGGACTAATGATGTAATTTAATATTTTCAACCCAAAAATTTGGTAGAAAGACAAAATTAAGACAGAAAACTAAACATAAAGAATTAAACTTAAGACAAAAAATAATAATAATAATAAAGAAATACAATAAAGATAAAATTAAAATTAAAAAAATGAAGAAACCCAGAGTCCAAACAAACAAACAGACGTGCATCTTGTAGCATACCAATGACTGAAAGCATGAAATCGAATAATCTTGTCATCATTCATAACGTTTCTGTATCATCCAAACTTGTCCAGGACCCAATGTTGAATACCTACCATACCGTAGGATGTGATTGCTATTCAATGCTCCGAATTAAATTATTCTCTTCTCCTTCCAAACCACCACCTTTTTCTTACTAACCCAAACCATGCTGAACTTCTCAATTCAATTAAAAGCAAGCCATCTGCGTCTGACCTTAAAATTGAACCCCGGTTAACAAGGTGGGGGTTTTCAAAACCACTTCATGCATGGATTCATTGAAACCATGTTTGGAATTCTTACAATGTATACACACACACACACACAAAAAAAAAGAGGAACTGCAAGCTATGAAAAGCCAGTAATTTTACTGCTAGAAATCTAAGCATGTTCAAAGCACAAGAGCCTCAAGAGTCAAGACTCGAGCATGGAAATTATTCTTTCACCCCTAACAACAAGCAACAGAGACGAGGAAAAAAAAAGATAAAAGAGAGGTTATGTATGCTTGAAATATGTCTATGTAGTAGTAGCACAAATTTTCCTATTATGTTTATAAATTGAAATTAACTATTATTATTATTATTGATTTATTACTACATATACATTACATTTTTCATTCAAATCTAAATTTATATGCGTCATCCCATGATTTTTTTTACCCCTCTTTTGGCGAAAAGGAAATGGTCAAAAAAAAAAATTACACCTAGTGCCTGTAATACTAACAAGTAGATATAGCTTAGCTTGATCCATACTTCAGTAATTCCCATCTGAAAGGCTGGAACACGTAAAGAACTTCAGGAGAGCTCTTGAAGAGCAACGCTACACACACACAGACGGCTGCAATGGCCACCATTGAGAGCATTGCTGGCCGGTAGACAAGGGATGTTCTAGCTGCACCATAAACCGGCTTCTGCTTGCATACCTTGCAGTGCTGCTGCATTGCTCTCTTTTCAATCTTCTCGGTGTGCAAGCTGGTAAGTTTTGGTAATTTATGCCCTTCTTTTTGCTTGGGATTGCAATTCACAAGGGAACTAGGGATGTCAAGCACTGCGTGCCCACTTTCCGATTGTTTATTAATTTTCCTCTGGATGAGATGAATGTAAGAGTAATGACCTCGAAGGCATGCATAATCATAAGGTGTCAAACCAGTGCTGTCATGAGATTTCTTCCATGCATCGATGCCCACCTGCAAGAGGTACACAGCCATCAGCAAAATGAACTCGAAGGAAGGAGAGGGGATGTTAGGCAATACTTTTCATTCAAATGTACAAGGTACTTGCTAAATTTTTTAAGTAAAATTCTGAAAATACAACGAGAGAGGGACAGAGATTACTAAGCCATTGATCAGAATACAATAGCCATGCGGCTCATGGCCCAGATCATCTAAGAAATGAACATGGTCAAAAATGGTTTCAAATGCTTGCCAAACAGATCACAAGAGGACCACTCAATTGTTTTAGCATAATTAGTTATAAGGTGCTATCTATTAAAATATTTGGAAGAAGATATCAGAGAGATAGATAGATACCAATCCAGGATCATCAGTCAAGGCATCTAACACATTCTCAGCACCATCCCTACAAGCTGCCACATGAAGAGGAGTCAATCCAGCTGGCCCAACAGCATCAGGCTTAAACATGAATCTGCTATTGCGCCCATCAACCAGTTGACTCTGCTGATTGCCCGGTCCACCCAATTGTTTATCTGGGATGTATCTTAATAGCAGTTCCACCATGGGCCTGCAATTTCTTCGCACAGCTTTGTGGAGAAGACCCATATCTAACAGTGCGAGCTCAGTTGAGGAATGCTCTCCAGCATCTACTGTTCCATCAAGCACAATGGCCAAGAGTTTTCTTACCACGGCACACCAGTCATGGTCCATGGAGAATTGTACAAGCCATTCAAAGCGTTTGAAAGGGAAGAGATCCAAGTTGGGATCCAACTGCCCCAGTCTAAACTTCAAGTGACTTCTATGTAGAAGCCAACCCATTTCATGTATGAAGTCTAACGCTTGATTCTTGATGTCCATTCTTTCAGCTATTGTATGCACGTCAGTACCAGTTTCGGCCACATGAATTGCATCCTCCAGCATTCGGATCTCTGAACATACTTCTGGCTCTGCAACAATGAATGGGAAAAAGCTGCTACTGAGACCATGGTCTTCAACCTGACAGATGCAAAGAACCAAAATTCTCAAAATAGCTATACAAAATTTATATGCGAGCATGGGAGAAAATTGCAGTAGATCTTGTCTCTAGTTTCCTGTTTGATATGTTTGAGCCTTTTCCAAACGAGCCCTAAGCAGATAGCTTTTTCCAGAGATAATTATGGCTCTAGTACCTTATTTTAGGACAGTACAAGAGTCTGCTGAACAACTTTTCTTGTATATTCCTAATATTTTATACTCACACACAGATTACGCTAGTTATAAATAAGATATCTGCTTTCCTTCTCAGAGAAGTGGCTGAGGGACACAAGGTCAATAACAGAAAAGGTTCTAAGTCACTAACACCAAGGGAAACAACCCTCTCATATCCTGAACTTCATAATTGATACATATTTGGCAACTAGAAGCTATAAAATTTGTTGGTAAGCCAATCTTGTGCTTTCAACTTATTGCAGACCATGAAATTGTACAAATTGGGACCAAAATATACCACAAGTTGAGACTTAAAGAACTAAAGCAAAGAAGCTGTTGTCTGACACTAATGACACTATGAACATGAGAAAATGTTCCAAAAACAAGATCAATGAACTTTAATAGAAAAACATTCATGTTGCAAAAGCAAAACAAGACAACAACATCATGAGAGAGAAGAAGCAGATGATAGCACCTCAATAAAGCCTCTTCCAACAAAATTTGGTACAGAGCACTGAAAGTTCAAGCACTGGGGTTTGTCATGCTCTTTCATCGTATCGGCAACATCCACTAAGTCATAACAAGTTTCCTGGACCAGATATTTTCCTTCAACAGCACAAAGTAGCCTGGAAAAGGAAGGCAGTATGATTCAATTCACCCTAATCTCTATTATAGTTTCAAAAGAATTTTCTACAACAAAGAGCCCTGAGACTTGTTTTTCCCACTTTCCAAAGATGGTCAAGGTCAACAAATTGAGTTCTCAGTTCTCAGAGAAAGTCAAGAACATGTTAATGAACAGAGAAGATAAAAGTAACCTTGTCATGGGTCCAACAAAGTTAAAGCCTCTGACTACAAATTGAGTTCTCTCAGACAAAGAGACAGCAATTGGTGTAATGCTTGAGATCCTGCATTTCTTATGGTTCTTTATAGGTAAAGGTGTGTCTAAAACAACTCTACCTGCAGCACAGATACAGCCAGTCAAAATTCTGCTCTTTTTTCTCGTGAATATGTGAGAAGCATAAACGTGTGCACACATGGTCACAAGAGAGAGAGTGAACCAACCATTATAAATAAAGGTTGCACAATTCTGCACCCTAACATACACCCATCCTGTTTGCCAAAAAGAGTCACTAGATGTACCAAGAAGCCTACTCAAACTTGCTCCCAGATCAAGACAAACCTGTACGTACCAATGATGATTAAGTAAATCAGTGATTTCTTTTTTTAGCAAATACAAGTTACTAATGTTTCCGAGTCAGCATTAACCGTACCTCCTCCCATTTTGATTTTTTGAGGCACAGATATATCGTTAATACAATACATCCTGGCCTTATATAGCTCTCAATGTCGGTGGGACTGTGGGATAGCCAATCAAGGATCTTGAGATGTACCACAATTTTTAGTATTAGAATGTTTAGGAGAAAAACTAACGGACAGGAATTCCACCTAATAGCAAGTTCAGAACATACCTGTGTTCGCAGAGCAACTGGGAAATCATTCGGGTCTTTTCCAAAGAGTTTAAAAACGATTCTGTCTGTACGATTCTGAAAATTGGTAAGAAAGGACAGTCAAGGGAATTAGGATGTGTGTACAAGCACTGCACCAGCAACTATTGGGCTGGTAACCCATAATGAGCCCATAATATAATGTCAAAGGAGAAAACTACACCTGAGCCTCTCCACTAGAACTAGATGGCGACTGGCTAGAAGTTGAATCAGAGTTCCCACTCATATGCGGAGGGCTTGTCTTGTGTGAGTCTGACTGTACCCATAAAGGGCAATTGAAAGGGCCCGTACCTGTGTTTACAGGGGCATGAGACCTCTCTAGGTTCTCTACATAATCTTGGGAATCATCATAAGCATTATTCAAGTCAAAGTTATTCAACTTGATTCTGCCAACAGTAGCCTCTCGTTCATTTGTTTTGGCTGGAAGGTTGTTTCCTGATGGGAACAATGATATAGACTGTGAACCTGAACGAGCTTGAAGTTTTCCACCCTGAACATCATTATCCAATATTCTTTTCTGTACCAAATCAGAAACTGGCGGGGTCCCACATTGACCCAAAGGCCTTAGAGGATTCTGAGAGTTAATGCAATCATCTTTCTTAGAAGCTGAACTAGAAGGCCTGGCAGATTCAGGACCATTTGTAAGCGCATCTTGCACTTTTTTAAGATTCCCAACTGTTGCTCCGGCATTGGCCAAACCTGGAGATCCTTGCAGTAATCCAGATAGGCTCCTTCCATTAGTTGTACCAGCTAGATTGGAGAGGCTCCTCAATAGATGAGAAAGCAAATCCTGATCCTTTGTTTGATCAGAGCTATTTGCTGCAATTTATAAAAGTCAGAGTCTGTAAAATCAAGAGAGAGAGAGTTTGACAATGATGACACCAAAAGAAAAGGAAATGAAAACTCACACAGAAATCAACTGAATATATTTAAATTTGATTCCTGAGAAATATTTTCCTCAAACTACTTCTGGAGAAAGAAAATCAGTGACAGCTAGGGCAGGTGATAACACTAGGTCAGCAAGTTCAGCAAGTTCAATTGTGGCATATACTCAGTCTATGTAAGCCGGATCAATCAAATCATGTGAGCCCATTGCACTAACCAATTGTAACAGTGGATCAACTGCACTGACTACTTGATGGGTCAAGTCTACGAAAAAAAAAAAATTTCTCCTCTTCCTCATGATGATACAGCTTTGATCCTCATCCCAACACAGCGCGTTAACCAACAAGCATAATCTATATAGTTTTTATAACCCCCTTTTATAGAAAAATTCTCCTTTGAAGGATTTCTGTGTTAAAATTTCACTTTTGGCATAATGGACAATTTTACTGTAATGAAGGGGAGTTAAAAAACTTCATGGATTGCTTATTTGGAGGTAGTTCACATGATTTATATAGTCAATGAACTTAGATGGTTTTTTATGTCACGTTGTAGATAGTTGGCACCCTCTTGGTACCTACATTGACAGATTTTTACACTTCAAAAAAAACAGCATCCCATGCTTGACAAAATGATTAGCCATAAGAATATGCCTTGAAGCTAACGTCTGCAAGAAAATACTTTGATGTTTTTGTTAAAGTACACAATATAATTATACTCTCACCTGATTCAGCCAAAAAAAAAAAAAAAAGGCACCGAGTGTGTTTCTCTTTTATTGTAATTTTCAAACCGAGAGATCATTAGGTACTCCTGACATATTGCTCCCTCACTCACATAAAAGTGCAAACCATGGATTGTTATTGCTGTGGGTTTTTTTTTTTTATGTGAGTGAAGGAGATATACACCAGGAGTACCCAATAATTTCTCTTTCAACCCAACCAACATAGACAGAAGGTAGACCATTAAGAATTTTAACATTTCAACACTTGTAAAACAATAGGACCAGTTAGTAGTCATTGAAATTCTAACCAATACCATTGTTCGCAGAAAGTAAAATGATAAAATAATAGAATGCCTTGAATTCGAGTGATTGTTGCATAGAATCAGTCTATGTAAACCAGATCAATCAAATTATCTATGCTCATTGCATTTACTAATTATTGGTTGAGCCTACGTAGACTAATACCCATGAATACAACTTTTGCTGTAATTCATTGTAAATAGATGACTTCAACCACCACCCCACACCCAATCCCCCAATAAAAGAGCCAGTTATCACCTACTTTCCCAATGCTTTTATACATGAACAACTAAATAATATGACCAACCCATGCTTGGTTGCCGTTTGAAGGATTTTTGGCTTATATTTACAGTTTTGGCATAATAAACAATTTTTCTGTAAGTAGTTAGTGCAATTTAGATGAGAGCTTGTAGGACATTTCCAGCAACTAATTGGTAACACTTACTGCCACCATGGGTAAAGCAACAGAGTAAACAAACTTTATAAAGAGACATACTTACAGTGCAAATTTGAGAGAATCCTCAGTAAACTTATCAGCAGATAGCTGCTACCCTTTTCATCATTCAAGGAACCTTCGTTGACTACATTTTCAGGATGTGTCTTCCTCCTCCGCTTGTTATGGCCAGCCAAACGCCTGCGGCAGCTTCTTTTCCCTTCATCAAACTCTTGAAGAACATGAAACCTGCCCATAAGTATAAACATGTTGTGTCTAACTGGAGAATCAAAAGAAATGCATGTTTACATAATTTTGCTCATGCCCGAAATTTTGACAGCAAAATATTAACTACAAGAGTTTAGTGCGACCAAATTCAAAAATGTACTACCGTTTTTTAAAACATAGGATGTATAGAAGGTACTATAACAATCATGACCAGAGTTGGCAAGATTCTAAAATGTTTCTTGGAATAAAGAAACCATAACCCAAACTGACCTGCTACATTGCTGGCAAAACCTCTGCATAACATTCCCCACCAATGCCTTACAGGCCTTAGAATGCACATTGCAAACCTTATGTCGTCGGTGATAATCCTTGGCATTGCTCAGATCAGCCTTACAATCCTCCACCTGACAAACTGCACGATTTGAAGCAGTCATAGTAACCTTTGTCTTCTTTCCACTCTTAGCATCTTCATCCATGATAGGGTAGACTTGTTCACCTAGCTTCAAATTAAGGGATCGAGCCTCATCATTCAAGTCTTCATCTTCAACAAAAACAACCCTTCTCCTCTTCTCCAATTCTCTCTTTCCTTTCTCATTCCCTTGGTTGTCATTGTCATCTGAACAAGAACATGAGCTGTTTGATATACCCACATTCTCAGGAAGTTCAGGTCCAGTAGGGAACAACTGCCTACTCCGGCAATCTGATGGTACAGAATTCAATGGACTAGCTGTAAAAAGATCGCCGTCCCATTTCCAGTCATTTAAATCCCATTCTAAACTCCTTTTCCCAACTGCCTTTAAATCCGACACCACCGGACCATAGAAATGACGAGACTTCCCACCAATTTTAGCCTCCATCTCTTTAAATTATCAAAACCCCACAAAAACAAAAGCACCAAGAACCCAATTCAACCAAATAAAGATACACAACTTGCACAATAATTAATCCAGTAAAGTCCAATCCCATATTCAAATCAGCACTGCTTCAACCTAAATTACCACTAAAATTAAACCCTCAAAACTCAGTCCTAGTCATCCTCTCTCTATGCCACCAGAAATCCCAAACACATCCATGGATCCAAAAAAGAGTCACCTACATGGCCAAAACCCCTTAATTTCAGCTCTTTAACCTCAAAACAAACAACAGAAACCAGCCCTTAAATCACTCAAATAAAAAAAAATCACAGACCAAACTAATAAAGTCACTACCTTTCTAAATCAACAAGTACTAAAAACAACACTAATTAACAAGTAAACAAACTGGAAAAAAAAAAAAAAAGTAGAAGAACTTGCCAAGAAATGGTGATTTGTTAAGGTCCCAGTTGAAGATCGCCTGAAAGAGGAAGAATATGGTGAGGGGAAGAGGAGAAGGAAATTAGGAAGAGGTTAGGGGAGAGAGGGAAAGAGAGAGAGAGAGAGAGAGAGAGAGAGGTACGTTTGTGATATAAATGCGGTTTCTCTTGAGAGAGAGAGAGATAGAGAGAGCAGTACACTTTTTGATTTATTTATGATGCCACCATCACCATGTTTGATCTAGGAATCCAAACCCCACACAACACCGTCTCTCTCTCCTGCCCTCGCTCACTGTAATAAAAAACACAAACAACTTTTCATCTTAGTTTACTTCTTCGGCTGAGCAGAGTTCAGATGTGTCAAGATTCTATTCGTCTCATATCTTTTACACGCTCTCTTGTCTCTTTTAGCTATGGTTGGAGATATGTCTCTTTTTGATCTCGATTAACGTTGTATATTTCGTCAATTCTCAAACATCAGAAAAAACAATTACTTAGATTGGTAGCTTATTAATTACAGTGGTTTTTAAAAAAAAAACGGTCAACCCGCTTGTAACTGCCTTAACTCCACTTTAATCTGTGGATGACAAGATTTTTCTTAGATTTCTTTCTGCTTTCAAACAGCCACATGTATCCCAATTTAAGCTTTATAGAAATAATAGTAATTTTTAATTAATTGGTGTTATGTTTAGTAAGGTGTACTGTAATTCAAACTTTATTAATTTTCAGGTTTTTCTCTGATGTCTTTAAAGAAATTTAAAAATAATTGTTATAAAAATTGAAATATGAGATGTTAATTTGCTAGTGAAATGTCTGATTGTGCCTTTCTTGAGACATGGTTGGATTTTTTATGAGATATAACCATGTACATATCAGTCCAGCGTCTTTGGGATTTTTTCCTAAAGGTCGAAGAAATAGTTCCTCTCCATTGTTCTTATTAGAATTTTACTCAAACTCTCTATTATTCTTATTAGAATTTTACTCAGACTTAACAATTTGGAGTCTATTATTGCTTTTTGTAATGACTGAGTCTTTCTACTTTTTATGTTTTATTGAATGAGTTTCTTCATTTATAAGTTGTTAGTTCATATATTTATGTGATATTTTTTGTTAGAATGCGTAGTTGAATCATTTATGACCTTTTATCTAGTAATTTTTTTATTTTTTAAAATTTTTCATTTGAGATGAAAATTAATGATTAAAAGAAAGTAAATTAACTAAAACAAAAATAACCTAAACAAATCTAATTAATTAAAATAAATTAATTTCATTTGTTTATTTGTTTATTAATTTTAAAAATGAAAAAGTTATTCTAATATAAAGGCATCATGTAGGCTTATGAACTCATGGCATCATGACGAAAGGATCGTTACAAAACAAAATAAAGATTAGAGAAACTCAATTAATACGAGAGAGAGAGAGAGAGAGAGAGAGAGAGAGAAGGCTTCAATTAAAAAAAAAATTAAAAGAGTAGAGGGACCAAATCCGGATAAAGTCATTATTGCTGCTAAAACTAGGGTTTCCGACTTTACTGGGTAGGGGTAATCTAACAGTGGCATGGATGGCTGCGTTGAGCTACGCACAATCCTCGCCTCAGCATCAGGGAAGAATCTGGATAAAATGATAGAGACCATTCAATGGACCTTCCATACCATATACTTCTGACTATTCTTATCATTTGCTTAGGGTGGGGGCCCGGAGACATCCGCTATTCTGAGTCATTTTTGTTAGACTAGCTGGAGGAAAATTAGTTACTTCTCCAATAATAAAACTGAAACTTGACTTCCATGGCGTAAGAACATTGTTATTTACCTAGCGCAGTTGATTCGAATAAAAAAGACTTTATCATTTAAATAAATAATTTAATTTTAATTTTTTATATATAAAAAAAATTAATAATTATTATAATTTTATATATTTGATAAAATAACGAGATATTAATTTAAATATTTAAATTTGAAATATATTGAAGGATAAAAAGAAATATCATTATTATTTTTTTAAGAATATAATTTTTCTTTCTTTCTTTCTTTTTTGACATCAGCTTGTGTGTGAAGCAAGCCAAATCCAATGATTACAATCCGTTCGTCAAATGTAACAGACAAAGCAATCAAGAAAAGCAAAACAAATAATTTTTTGCCTTATAGGTCAGACCCTCTTCAACAAATAGTCAAATAGACTGATCTAAACGGTTTACTTCCTTTCAAGTTGCGAATTTATTACAATAAAGTACAAATTACCAAGTTTGCACCTCCATGATCCAGATAACCAAAAATAGTACCCTTTGTATTGTCATTTTGAATTTGAATTTAAAAAAAAAATCATGGAAATTAATATTATTTTTTTAATGCACAAATCCAGTTATCAATAAGTTTTTTTAAAAAAAATAATACATAATCTCCAATCACAAAAACAAGTTTAAAAAAAAAAATTATACCTTGACAAATACAAGAAATAGTGAAATAGAGGCTAGTGGTACGAGATATTCCAAGCAATCACAAACTGAGCTTCGAAGACAAGAAACATGTAAATTTGTTTGAAATTGAATTTTATTCACTGCTTAATAAATGTGATTAATGTTTCCACTGTATGCTTATTTATGTTTATTTGATTGAATTACATGGATGTAGTTAGTTTTAGCCGAAATACATGTTTGAACGTTGATGTGCATTTCAATGAGCAATCAAGAGCCACCAAGTATCGTACAACCTTAGATTAGTGATTATCATTTTGCTAAGGAATGGCTAAGCTGGTAGGAACATATCCATAGTGCACGGACAAGAGGAATAAGGCTTTAGAGGTCTGAAAATTTAGCTCACATGACAATTGATCAGATACAAAATGGATATCTATTTTATCTAACTCAATAAATACTCATTAAAAATATCAAATGAGTATTGAAATAGACAAAAATGAAAAAAATACTTATTCACTAATATGGCTTCAAGATATGGGTACCAACTCTTTATCTTATCAATACCCATTGATTTATTTTGATTTTTTTTTTATTGACACACATGGATCTATTTACATAAACTTTAAAAATTAAGACCAAAATATTTATAAAAAAACTTTATGGACCAAAAAAACTTATAAATAAATTACCAAAACGCAAAAAAAAGAAAAATTAAGGACAAAAACTACTAAAAAAAAACTATAAGAACTAAAATGGATATTTTTGACAAATTATTTTTAACGGATATTAAATAAATGGATAAATTAATATGGATTGGATATAAGTTGGATAAATATTTATATGATGATTTTTCAATGGATAATGAATAAGTTGTTCTTTTTATGGATATGGTAAAAGATTGAATTAACGTGTCGGGCACCAACCTATTGTCACTATAAAACGTGTTCATGATTAATTTTTGGTTGATAAAGGAAATAAAATACAAAAGTGTAAATCTTCATGTTAAGCAAGTAATGATATAACCAAAAACTTGTAACCTAATGATAGTGATTTCTTACAATAAGAGATTATATGTTCAAATTCTAATAAATTAATTTTGTTAGGATTCTTAAATGTGCGAGTTAAAAAAAAAAACTAATAATGATATAAAACTACGAGAACGTATCAAAGTATTGTTTATACATAACTTGTTTTTCAATCATATATCTATATAATCTTGAATTTATTTCTATCTTCCATTACATCATTTTGTTAACTAATTTAATACAAGAAGTTACTCTATATGATATTATTCTACGAGTTCAAATAAATTCAGGAATAAGTGGGCTAAAAAAATCTTTTGCGTGTTCATTTCGAGGTCAATACATAGTGGATTAATTAAGTGGATTAATGGATCAATAAACAAAAATATTCTAATCAATTGACAAAAAATTTCCACCAAATTCTAGTTTAAGTTAAATACGTGAATCTAACATGAACCAAATTTGATGTCAAGAAACAACCGTATTCGATTTTACAATGACTCAATCTAGAAATCAGACAAGGCCCTGCTTTTTGGACAATTATCATATGCTTAAGTTAGCAACTGATCAATAAAAATATTGAGGGTTGTGTGTGTTTTTGTGACAGTGATGGATAGAGAATTTTTATAGATCTTGGCAAAAAAAAGTCTCTTTTACCTGCAGTATTTGGGTTATAAATATCTAAGGGTCCGTACAAAGATATATCTAATAATTGCTTCATTCATTTTTTTTTTTTTTTTTTTTGGGACGGTCAACAAGACAGATAGGAACGACATAACTTAAAAGGAAATTACCGCTCCTCAATCAATATTGTGTTTAAACCCACATTTTCAAGAATCATGTGATTCCGTGGATTCTAAATATTTCAAATCTAAAACTAATTTATCTCTGCTTATATAGACATATAAAATAAATAAAACTATTCAAAAAGTTTTTTATATACATAAAAATTTAAATTCATAATCATTTATTTAATTGATTAAAACTTTTCTCCTCAAACCAATCTGGTTGAGTCAAAAAACTATAAGCTTCAAACGTTGAGTGTGAGATGCGACGACGCCAAATAGTCTCATTCAACCATGTCAACAGGATCTTAAATCACCCCCGATCACACTATGTTTTTTATTAGATCACAAAAAAGTGATAAGAAATTTTTTACATTGACTTTTTTTTTTTCTCTTCTATTCTTCGTTTTTTTTTTAATCTTTTTTTATGAAATAACTTATATTAATTATTTTGTGAATATTATAAAATTTATCAAGATCACATCTGTTTATGAAATTAATGTTCCAATATTTTAGGACAGCAGTTTTGTTTGCGGCAAGCTGGCTGTCATGGGAACCTAAAATGAAAGCATTCCTCGGCACCAATTTTACCGTTTGTGACATTGCCTTTTCATTTCTGTTTTTCGAAAATCCTTGTGAGTTCAAGAAATTCCGCTTTACTTTCACCCCCGCTGTCTAATATATCGTATGCATATATGCAGAAAAAAAAAGTTCTCTCGTGCTTCAACAATCTTTGCTTAATTTAACGTGGGAGGTAAGAGAGCATGGAATAATTACATAATGAAACAACTTTATATCAAATCATGTAGAATAATTCAGTTAAAACCATTCTACTCACTTTGTCCAGAAAGATCTTTTATTTTTATTTTTTATACAATTTAAAAAATTTATTAATTTTTATGTCATAGCACAATTTTTTTTTCATATTTTTTTAAATTATTTTTATCAAATTTAATCCTAATCAATATTAATTTAAGAAAAAAATATATCCAATATTAAGATAATAAATTAAAAAAATTATTAAGTTAATTAACGATCAAATTTAAAATAATTATAAAAAATACATAATAATAAAAATATTTTGTTTAAAAATTTCGACATGTAATAATGACTTTTTTATATACAACAAAAAAATTTCTTTTGAATTTTTTATTCTAAAAGTATTTGTATGTATAAGAAAAAAATTAAAGAATATTTTTTTTGTTGGTGAAGAAAAAAATAAAACAATTTTTTAATAAATTATAGATATTTTAAGAAAATATATTATTTAAAGATTTAACTATATGGGACAGTGTGTATATATATATGTATATAAAAGATCAAGAGTATCTATCTTTTCATTTTTATTTTTTTAAAAAATTATAAATACTTTATTTGTAAAATACATTTATAGACACTTATTACTAATATTTTAAAACATAAGGCATTTTTATTGTGTCTTCTATTATTTCTTTTATTGTTCAATAAACTGTGTTTTCCGTATTTTTTTTTTTTTTTTAACCCAGCAGCCAAGGCTTGCCTAACTTTATTTTATTTTTCCCTTCATTTAATCTATGATCCAATTCATAAATTGATTTTGCAACTTAATAAATAATAGGTCCCAACATATCCCTTTCAATTTGCAAGTCGACAGCATTTATTTTGGAAAAATAATTTCCTACAGCCCCGACGTCAGGAATTTTCCTATGGTCCAGACGGGATTGCAAAACAAATTAAAGGAGCCGTATGCATTGGCCAGAGACGTGTGTACGTGTATTTATTATCCCTCACATGTTATTATGTTACAATAACCCAAAAAAAAAATGGTTTCATTCTATTGCCACATGGCAGTGCTTGCTTGCTTCCATGTCTAGGCCGTAAAAAGAATTCAGACTGCTGTTAAGGTACAACAGTTGATTCCTTTACAAGAACCTAGAATTTGAAGGAAAAAGAGAAAAAAAGCGCTTGAGAGAGCGAAACTACATGTATTGTATGCAATAGAAGAATAAATTGTCAAAACATGCCTGTTCTAATAAATCCTTTAACTATTTATACAATACAAGCTAAACTAACAAACTAATTATTGCTAACGGCTAACACACATGAATTGCTAGCATTTTACTTAATAACTAACCTTTACCACTTAACATGTGTGTATTTACCCTAATGTATTTACTAAACTAAATGAACTAATATTCGTAACAATACCCCTCCTTTTGAAAAGCCTTGTCCTTGAGGATTAAAAACGAAATCTAGACTAAGCACATTGGGAACATATATCAAGACAACATTTTGATGTGTATCAGCTCCGCTACCCCAATCATTCACAATGATGTGATGAATCCCAAAGTCTTTTTGTATGCACTCTACATCAAAGCCCAAATATAGATACATGAATGATTCACATTGTGGCGTTATGTTGATCCTATCTTATATATGACTTTGGAAGGACTCCCTTGGGCAACAGATTTGAAGTGTCCCATATAACGCGTTGCCTATTACAACTTTTTTAACAACTACTAGTTAGATACTCATGCTATCCTGTGAACGGATAACCATTACATATATAGGATTAACAATTTATATATTGTAATACGAGTAAAAAGTTTTATTTTTTGTGATTAATATAAATCGAATCTATATATAGTTAATTTTTAACAAAACTATATATATATATATATATATATATATATATATATATATATATATATATATATATATATACCCACTTAATTATATAGAATATGTCAAAGTAAATAGATTTAAATAAAAACTACTATAAATTAATTTAAATAAATTCTGATTATATATTTATATATAACCAAATAAAATCGTGATTTTTTTAAATAATTATTAATTTTTTGAAAAACAATTCAAGTCAAATTATTTTTTAAAAAATGAAGTCAAATTATTTAAAACACACTTTTAGCTTTTTCTCTCTCATTAGATTTTATATAAGCAATACCATCATTTTCATATAAAAATTATAAAAATAATCAATCGTCTAAATTATAATAATATATCTTAAAAAATAAAACAATCATGTTCTAAAATTTTATTTCAAAAGTCTTATATATATATATAAAAAAAAACTATTAACAAATTAAAAAGAAAGGACAAACTAAATCTCAACGACCTCAATTCGTTAAAAAAAAAAAAAAAAGATGCTAGTCGGGAAAAAAAAATTAAAAAAGCTACAATAATAAGATTGTGAAAAATGCTAAAGCAATGAGAATGTGAAAGACCAGTTTAGCGACTTAGGTCTTTAAGGAAAAAAAAAAGGCGAGGGGAAAAAAAGGAGGGTTAAGAAAAAGAAAGGAAAAGAATTAAAAAAAAAAAACAAAAGCAAGGCGGGAAAAGAGAGGGGGACTGTAGCATAAATAGTATCACCCCCATTTGGTTTAGTTTTTTAGGTAATAAATTGACCACTTTTTAGCTTGACTCCAATGGCTCTATTGTTTTCAACAACAATCTTTTCTACATGATTTCTTAGAGAAAGTCGTCCACTCAACTTTTCCAATCCTCCGACAAAGGCATCGACGATGGCCCCACTTCTATGAATCGAGTACTTAAGACTACAAACATGTAAATCATCTTTGCTGAGAGTATACCATTAGATTTCACCCTTGCAAAAAAGAAAGCTAGAAGGTCCATCTAGTTTATTATAAAAGGGTCTTTCAGCTCCAATGAATCAATAACTTTTGAGAAAGGCCTAAGAGGTTTTGCAACACCTAAAGCTCACTTAGGTACCATTTGGGTAAAAGATTTCAATAGTGAGGGTGCGTATCTAGCATTTTCGAAACATGAAGTCCTTCATAGTCCTACTTCTCAACACATTCTCAATCTTGTGTGTGCCATTCACACATTTTTTTTCTAGATCCATAGTATTGGAAAAATAATTAAAGCACATAATTGGATTCACTCTAACATCTATGGAAATAAACCTTAGTGATCCAGATTGAGTACGACCTAACAATTTTCTCCATAAGGGTGGCCATCGTGAGATTAAATGTGATAAAGGTGTCCTCATGAAAACAAGCACGAGTAGGGGATACAAAGGGGATAAACCGTTAACTCGTTAAAGCTGTTTCAAGATATGCTTCTACCTCGGTAATACCAACCACTTGAATCGGTGAATGCTCTAGTGACATTGGAAGCATAATTGAGATCCCATTGTACGGAATATCATAGAGTTGTTGCCTCACATATGGAAGATGGTAGGTCACCTGGAATGCCCATAGGTAAAAGGTAAGACCTTAAACCAATGCCACTTACAAAGAGTAAACGTGGACTCCCAATGGCATCGTAGATAACATCACATCACTTTTTTTATGCACCATTGTGTGGTAATATTGTCCTCTCTTATCACAATAAATCACTCCCATAACTAGGGGTGAGCATTGTTTGGTTAAAATTGAAAAACCAAATCGAATTGAACAAAATTAACAATTTTGGTTCGATTTTTAAAAAAAATTGAAAAAAAAAATCAAAACTATTTCGGTTTGGTTTGGTTTTTCAAATTCAGTTTCCACCAAAAACCAAATTAGTTTTTTTTTTTTAAACACATACCCAAACTCTTTAAAAAAAAAAATCAAAGAGACACCTATAGGTCTAACTAAAAGAACAATAGCTTTAATGATTTTTTTCTACTTAAAATAGAAATATTTTCCATTAATTATTTATTGAAATAATAAAATAATTGATTATATTATATTGACTCATACAAAAAAATATAAAAAAAGACTATGATAAAGAAATTCTTTATAAATACACAAATTTATGTGTGGGTGAATCCTAAAACCTCATGAAAAAAAATGTCTACTTGTATTAAAATTGGCACAAACATAAATTAAAAATTGGATTTTTCATATTATATATTCAATAATAAAATATGCACAAAATAAATAGATTAAAAAAAGAATATGAAAAATTAATATTAAAAAAACTAATTATAGCGTGATTGAAAAAATAATGAGAAGCCCAACTAATTTAGTTTATAATATAAATAGAAAAAAAATTTAGTATAGAAAAATAATAATAATCATACATAATTTTCTTATAAAATCAAATGTGAAATATGCAATCTTTGATTTTGCAAGTTTGATATTTTTTAAAAGTAAAATAATTCGATTTTTAGAAGAAAAAAAATTGATTTTTAACCGAAAACCAAAAATCGAATCAAAAAATTCGGTTTTTAACCAAAAAACCAAACCTCAATTCGGTTTGATTTTGGTTTTTGTTTTAGCCAATTCGGTTAATCAAAAATCGAAAAAAAAAACACCAAAATCGAACCAAAAAACCGAATTATCACTCCTACCAATAGTCGACAATTGAGACCTTGAATACCAAGAAATGGATGCCGATAGGAGTTTTTCAAAACTTATAGAAACAATAACTTGAATATCGATTGTATTTGCATAGTTAAGAAGATCAACATCATTGTACCCCCTCTTTGACCCTTTAAAGGTTGAGCTATAAATCTTTATGCCCACCATATAATCTAAACCGAAACCAATATATGGTTCAACCTCAACCCCCAAAAGTCCATTTCTAACAATAGATAGTCGGTTTCTAAGCTTTGGTCTAAATACAATTGCCTTCGAACCCATTCATAGGATCGATTCATAATAGTAGGTGAATAAAAAATATGAGTTGGCTCATTAATAATCCTAGCCACATTAAGTCCGGTAATGACATCAACATCGTTGGGGGCTTGCCTTTGGGCAACATTGAAGTACGCGAGTAACATTGATAACAACATCCTTTATTTTCTTTTTAAGGAATACCTCGGTTGTTGCCTTCATCTTAGTCAAAATTATAACACTTATCTCTTCAATAGAGAAAAACTTAGTCTCTCCATCCTTCATCTTCACTCGAATATAAGGCTTCCTATCCTTATCCATAATCTTGTATGGAACAAGTTTCATTTTTCTCTGGATTTTATTATTCTCAAACTTTCTGCCGATAAGTCTCTTGACATCACCAATTTGACTATTTTTCGTACTTTCCAATCCATCACTCTTAGAGACTTCATTCTTCTTTCTCATCTTTCTACATTTCTCCCAAAACACTACCTCATCTAGTGTAACATTGATCTTAGCATAACTTACCTTTTTATTAGTTCTTCACAACCTCTCCTTTAATGGACCTCCATTCTCCTTTCCTTCCTTGCTCTCTACCTTTTCATTCCTTAATTCAATGTCCTTCTTCCTACCCTTCTTTTCAGCAACCTTTTCACTTTTTTTTTCTCCTCATCTTCTTTATTGTTCTCAATAATTTTCATCTTTTCCTTTTCTTCAACACCCACACTTTTTTCACTTAAATCATCTTCATTCCCACTAAACATTTGTAAATCTACCTTAGGCATATAAGCATTGTAACCAGATTTCATGAATTGAGGTGAAAAAATGGACTCAACATGATACTTTGGGTATGTTAGTTTGTTTAAATGGTTCACTGTTGGAGAGGAACTTGAAGAGGATCCTTGTATCTTTTATGTGCCTTTCTCCACCATGGTTGACTTGATTATAGCCATTAAAGCTTCAAATTGAAACTTCGTTCCTCCATTTGTTTCTTGATAGTTCCAAGCTTTCTTGAAGTTTTTGCCACACACCTTAGAGTTATTCATCGTGTTTCCTACTCTGCTCCTCCAAAGCTCGAATCCTATATTATTATTCATCATGATTGAGTGTTGAATTGATCACAGTAGCCGTGCTCGCTTCTAATTAGTAAGGCCCAATAATTGATTCCTTAATAAGAATCCTAGAATTTAGGAAAAAAAAAAAGAGAAAAAAAGAGCTAGAGAGAGAAAAAATACATGTATTGTATTCAATAGAAGAATCAATTGTCAAAACATAGTTGTTCTAGTAAATCCTCCATGCAGCTATTTATGCAGTAAAAGCTAAACTAACAAACTAACTATTGCTAAGTGAGTAATACACATAGCTTGCTAGCAGTTTATTTAATAACTAACTTTTGCCACTTAATATGTTTGTATTACCCTAATGTATTTACTAAACTAAATGAACTAATATTCGTAACAGCTGCCGAGCTGTAGGAAAATGTTGTCCACGCCCAGCTGTACCCACATGACGTAGACCGTAGAGGAGGGTGGTCAAAAACGCTTTGTGCATCATTTTCAGAAGTTGAAAAAGAGGGGAAAAAGGTTGGAGTGGAGACGATATTTAATGTTAGTCCAAAAGAGCAAGACTTTTTTTGGCCTTTTTTCGTGTTTTAGAATCTATCTAAGCCGAACAGCAACCAATTCAATGAATAAATAACGTGAGTTAACATAAATCGGCGGCTGCATCTATATATAAAGTCTGAACACCACAGAGGCAAAGATTATATTCTATCTTTTATTGATTAGTTACCCTGCACCTTGACTTTCAATGGCGTATACGGGGGAAGGCAGCACCCTCCCTTAGGTTTTTCACTTTTTTTTTCAATTCAATTTACATTTAAGTCTCTGCAACTATCAAAGTATTCAATACACTCCCTGCATCTCAAAATGTATTTGCAATCGAGTCCTTGGTTGATTATTTTCTCTTTCTTTTTCCTTTTCAAAGCTAACCTACCATCAAAATTGTAGCATATATAAATTTGAAAATCTTCTTCTTCTTCTTCTTATTATTAATATTATTTTAATTTTGTCATAATGGACTTTATTTTTAAAATGAACGTACATAGAATAGTGTTGACATGAATTACCATACTAAATCCTTAGTTATATTCTTACTTTGTCAATAAAAAGTTAGCGTAGCAGTAAGTGAGATCATCATAAAACGCTCGCCTGTGAGATTGAGAGGTTGAATCTCATCTACAATTATGTGTAGTTGGTGGCATATATCTTCATGCACGATCAATAACCTATCTATCTTTATGTCTTTTTTTGTTTTTTTCCAAAAGCTAGCTATATTCTTTTTTGACCTAAATTTTTATTTCAGGATCCGTCATTGTTGACTTTGATCATATTTGATATTCAATTGATCAAATTTCATTTCATATTGATATGGTGATTTTTGTGGGAAGGTTTTGTCTATTGTATTAAACAAATATTTATCAACATCACTACATGCATGAGAAGACATATTTTAGCCCGATTCACATCCTGGAATTTGAACTTTTCCAACGGTGCAACTTCTCTAGCTGGCTACCTTGCATTGTCCTATTTTTATATCTCTTCTAGAAAAGTAAAAAAAATAATATAATAATAATAATAATAGGGAGACTTGAGCTCGCGTTGCTTTCTCATGCAAAGCATGTGAAGGAAATAGTCTCATCTCCCTTTCTCTTTTTTTAATAATAATAAAAAAAGAATAAAATGTGATAACTTTGATAGGGCAAAAAGAAATAAAGAGAGAGGGCAACGGACAAGCATATCCCCCTATATATAAAGTTAAGCCGTAAGTGTTCCATGGCTTTGCAGTTTGCAGTCCAGGAACATCAACATTAGCTTTATTTTGTAATTTTTCTCTCTCATGGCAGATCTTTAATTACCATTTTTACTTTAAATACGAAATCTGCTGGAATTTGTATCAAATTATTGTTTGGTGAATTTTCCGCTTTGGGGTATAATTTTTTACTGAAAAGATTTTTTATTTAATGTGGTTCTGTGCAACCAGTTTTAGGGTTTGGCACTGTTGGCTATAATAAACGATAGAAATAAGAGACTGTTTGTTTTGATCTTAACAAGAAAAGAACTAAGAGTTCCTTGTTATACGAGCTTTTCTGGCGTGGCTTCTTTTTGAAGCAAAAGCAACTGTGTCGATACACATCTTGATCCCTTTTAGAGTTTTTGGAAACAACTTTATATATTGATATCTAATTAATTGAACAATCATCGTAGCATGATTTGCTTGGTAACCTGGCTGTTTATAAAGTGCAACGCTAAGTTTATACTTTTTTTTTTTCAAAAATGACCAGCCAATCCTTTTAATCATCCGATGGGTAGATTCTAATAATAGATCCTATATAAATTTAACGATTAAAAGTTTTCCCAAATGAAATTGAAAAAGTATCCTTTAAAACTAGCATTAGTCAGTAAAAAAACCTATTTTATAATTTAGTGTTGATTTTACGTTCACTATTTACTATTAAAAAAAAAACTATTTATCAAGGGAGAGTATAGTGTTTTTTTTTTTTTTTTTTAATTCAATGGTGATATTATCTTTAAAGCTTATAAGTCAATTAAAATTAAATTTCTTTTTATATTACAATAAAGACACATCCACCGTATTATTAATGCTAAATGATACAAAATCTGAACGTGGGATTTTTCCTTAATTCAATAAATTTATCAACTCTTTTACCATCAACATCACCCTCATGTTAGTTCTTTTTTTTATTTTACTTTTTTCCCATAACATATATTTCCTCAGCACACGAGCCAAATGGCCCAGAGGTAAGAAATGGGCTTGAAGGCCAACTAAAGAATGTAGACTGCAAGCCCGTCTCATACTGGGTTAAGACCTATGGACATGTTGGAGTCAGGGCCAGTTTTAAGTGTGTTTGGGTAAAGCAACAAAATCGCAGAGGCCCAGGAGAATGGAATTGTGGGCAACAAAGGTCCATAACCCAATTGATCCTTGCAAAATGCATCCCTCAAAATTCAAATGGACCATGTCTACCGTTCCTTGACCTGTAAGGAGTAAGGATGCAAGAAGTTACGTTTACTGATCCAAGCCCCAGGAATTATTGCAACGAGAAAACGTGCAATAATCCACAAGTTCTGGCATTACTCTTTACATTTCTGTTATCGTCTCTTTTGCTTACCGTATATGTTATCGTATATTTGTTTATTTGGTTGTGTCTGCTTAATCACTAGACAGCTATATTGTGCAAAAAGTTAGTAACCCAAAGATGAAAATTTTACCGTCAAAATAGTTGTTTCAGACTCTTGAGACTTAGTTCAGGTGATAATTGATGGGGGAAAAACAATAACAACAACAACCTGAAAAATATCAGACTACGCAGTGGAATAATTTTCTCTCTATTTTTGTGTAAATCTAATAAAAAATAATAATGTAGAATAATATAGCAATACAAATAATACATCATCAATCACATATAAACATAAGCTAATTTTAATGTGAAAAACTTCCCCGGTGTGACGAGTAGAAGCCACAACACCATAGTCCACCAAAAACTCCACTATAAATTAAATAATGGGTTCATAAAGTTCTTCTCGTAGTTCTACCTAGAGGCATACATCAATATTATCATCAAGAATAACAATCTTTAAATAACAACCTACGAAAGAGTTATTGTCTACGTCTAAAAAACCTTATGCATGGAGCTTCAATTGACCATCCAACTGTTCAAATTGACGAACCTTAAGTCATGAGTATGTTGTCAAAGTTTCAAGTCAATTGCATCACAAATCGGTATCTTGTCAATTTGATGAAACTACTACAACTTCGTAAAAAATCTAGATTTTTTGCTTTCTCTTATTTGCGCTCTCCCAAGTATATCCCTTATTTTCTTTGAAGTTTTTATACTTACACTTAAAGCAATAATCAAAACCTACTTATTCAAGTTTTGGGCCTCAATTATTGAGTTTTTCTCCAAGTAAGGAGTGACCGAGCCCAACAAATCTCTCCCTCATGACAATGTGGAGGAATCCACCATTCCAGCAATAGAACGATAATGTTCAAGCTTCTCTCTTGGTAGTGTTTTTGTCATCATATCATAATCATTGTGGTCCGTATAGATCTTCTCAAGCTCCAATAACTTTCCATCTATAGCATTCATTATTCAATGATATCTAATGTTAATATGTTTCAATCAAAAATGAAATTAGGAGTTCTTACCAAGATGAATCACACCAGATTGTCAAAAAACAACACATATCTCTTTTGTACAAGACCAAGTTCTCCCAAGAATTTCTTCATCCATAGTAACTCTTTATTAACTTCGTTACAATGATAAATTCAACTTTGGTTGTAGAAAGTGTAACACGGTTTGTAACTTTAACTTCCATGACACGACTCCACCAAAAAGGAAATCAAATAACTTGAAGTTGATTTTAGAATATCAATATCTCCGA